ATGTGCATACCACACAGAGGTTTGCAAAATATGATTAATGATACTAAAACAACGTCTCAGCCTTGATCTCTGAACAGTGGAGAATGTAATCAGGGAGATTCCAAGGAGGAGGCTGGAAAATTAAATGAATGAAATGCTATTGTTTTGCTATTGTTTTATTTGTTTGTTTGACAAACCAATGTATGTGGACAAAGTTGCAGAAACATGGAATTTGTTACCAGAATTAAGGTGTACATTCATAACTACTGATGCATTTCACAGAACTTCAAGTTATATCTGCTACTCGTTAGCCGATTATGAATACAAGAAAATAAAGTAGTTTGAGAAGTTCACCAGTGTTCCAAACCTTCTGCTTTCACTTGGTGTTAAGTCTGAATCAAAATCAGCTAAGCACAAGGAAGTGTACAGGCATTCATTCCTCAGAGGAAGGCATGAACAATCTAGGTACCAAAGGTGATATACACATAAGTGAGAAAATGTACAAATGACATACTGTGAAATCAGTCAACAGAAGGTGAGAATTAGCTGGGTTGTGGATTTTGTGTAGACTTTTTAAGGACACATAAATGCAGAGGGAAAGTCTCATTTGGAGGCCGATAGGAAGAAAAAAGGATGGTAAAAGAAAAGTGGTGGCTTGACAGAGCATTGGTAATTCATAGAGTGAACACAACAACCACTGGGCTCCTGAAAGATTCCTTTTGCTGGATGAATATGAAGATGTTGTGTTAGCACAGTCTGTTAAATGATACTACAGGGAATAGTTGTAGTATTACTACTACATCTGCACAAATTAGTCATGGATATATAAGCAGACCTTCCTAATAATTTTTTAGACCCTGTGCTGATACCTATTGTTTTAATATTTGATCACCCTATGAATACCAGTAGATCAAGAGTAGTCAAACTTCCTAGCAGGTTTTGTAGACTTCCTGTTTCACCTTCTTAGAAAAATAAGCTTTGAATAATATACACTGTTTTAGGTATGTTTTAGGGGGATATGGAAGTTTGAGTGTGGGAGGAAATGGTTTATGTGATCCAGCTGTAGAGAAATCCTGCATAGGCAATAACTATGAAGTTGTGGAACAACTAATCATCAGGTAATTTCTTGACTATGAGTCAATCTGTTGGACTAAAGGAATTAGGAAGATGAAACATGTTATGTTTCCCCAGAGAGATACCAATCACAAACTAATCACAGTATCTTGGGAAGCATCTAGCCAAGCAGAAATTAAATCTTCACCGGACTTTCCAATTACACTGTTCTAGTCCAGATGTTCATGTTGTTGAAATATCTTTATTTCTGAAGGAAAATAAAGACATGAAGTGCCAGCATCATGGGATATGTACTGGCTGTGTCAATTGCTGGCAGGAGGCTGGAAAATAAAGGTGTTCTGAATGTAGGTCTATCTTAGCAGAAAAGCAGGGGATAAGAAGATTAGTACCATTATTTTACTAGAAATCTTTCCAAGTGTGCTCTGTGGACAACCTGAATGTAAAGTTCCTAGAAATGTTCAAGTAGCTTGACAAAAATCTGCTCTTTTCTATCTGTTAGGATGTCTCCTCTGTGGCCAGCAGAAGAAAAGAGGACTAGAAAAGAGAAGCATTTATGAGGGGTCTGGAGAAGACAAGACAGTGTGCACTGGCAAACTTAGACCATTACTAAAACCACTGGTATCTGTTGTGTTAAACATTGAGCTGGTGCTGGTGTAGATGAAGTGCCCATGTGTTTTTTGTCAGCTTATTTGATCTAGATTAGCACATGTGAAAAGAGAAGAAATAAGTGCTGGTGCTCTGATTAAGAGCTTCTGGGTCTGACTTTGTTCTTTCAGATTCTTAATGACAGGAATTGTCTAATGATGGTGGAATCCTTCAGGTTTTACAGAAAATGATCAGGAAATAAATAATTGAAATACAGTTGATTTTGGTGACTTCAAGAAGAAATGTCCCTTTGGACTGTAGTCTTAATAAATTGCAGTCCATAAGAAGACATGTTAAGCTTGTATTCAGATTATTCAGTTTATTCTTATTATTTTAATTTCACTTTAGTTATTACGTGTTTATTTTTTTTTTCTCATCTTAAACATAGTTTGCTCACTTTGTATAGGCAGGTTGCTGATACCTGGAGGATCTATAGCCTTGCTGATAAAGCCACAGCAAATTCCAATAGTTAGAAGTCTTGTCTAGGGAAATTCAATTAATCAGGTATAATTTTCTAGCTGCTTGGTGGTCAGGAGTTATGGTGGCATATCAAGGAGTGGATGTGGGGATGTTAACATTGCTTGGACTTTCTGAGACCTACACAAACATGTGTCTTTAACATACACACTGCAATGACTTTCAAGCCTTTGAGAAACAATCTTCCACTTGTGTATGAGACTCAAGAGAGTCTGTCTGGACAGAGCAATTTCTCACAGCCCTAGGATTTGTGAGTCTCTGTTCATCATCTTTCTGTTTGTTTGTTTCTTTCTTTCAAGGCTTTATGGAAAAGAGTTGCTTTTCTTACTTTCAGCATGTGTTTGTGATACTGTAGTGCTATGCTATGATAATTTAACATTCTGAAGCTTCAGAGGGCTGATGGTGGAATGAAGAAATGACTTCCTGATGTTGCAGTAGGCTGGATGTGTTCAGGCAGTTTTTCTATGTACTTTATTTTCCAAGTTTCTCTGAAGAACCAGAGGTTTGCCCTGTTGATAAAGTGATGGGATTCAGTGGACTGTGATTTGAGGTACTATAGATACTTCCTTTTTAAAAATAAATAAATAAATAAATAAAATATGCCTCAGTGGTCTCATTAATATGCTATGAGTATTCTGGCTTCAGGAGAGAGTTTTCTTCCATGACAGAATGGCTGTGATCTTGATATCTTTTGTCTTTACTACAAATAGGCATAGGCTGCCTGTTGGAAGTGTAAGGATGTGTTATCAGTCCATTGCCATTGTCTGGTCCTCAGGCATTGCAATACTTTTTTTTTTTTTTTTTTTTTTTTTTTTCTTGTCATGCGTAGTTGTTCTTGAAAGCCTGAAAAGTGTGGGGCAAGGGAAAGGGCTTAATATATGAGTATTTCAGCTTAGTGTCATGGCCTGTAATATATAGGAGGTCAATATATATATGACTGGATGATTGCTTTCTCCTGTCTGGATTCAAGATCTGCTAGTCCGCCGGTAAAGATTTATGTGGATTATATTTTTTTTTTTTTCATGTATTCCTTCCTTCTAGAGGAGCTTGAGTAGTGTTATTTTTTTCTTTTTTCTTTTTTTTTTTTTTTCCTTCTCCTTCTTAGTAGAGGAAAGAGGCATTGTATCATTGTATTGAGCTTTCTAAACATTTTGTGACCTCTCTTTGTGGATACTGTGCAAACCTTCTCATTTGGTTAGCCCTTTATTAAAGACCCTTACTAAGTCTGACTGCAGACTCTGCCATTCATGAGATCTGGAGTGTTGAGCTTACTGTGATATTAATCCTTGAAAGGGTTGTGTTGGCTTATTTCACACAAGATACTTTATTTTATACAAGATATTAAAACTAATATTTTGAAATTTGGAAGGAAAAAAAAACACTTTTTTTTTTTTTTGTCACTATGTCTATCACTTCTTTTTCAGTATCAGTTCCAAGACTTGGCTTTTTACATGCTGACAATGTAATAAGAAACTTGCAAAATCACGGAGCTGCAAGTAATAAAATAATATAAAATAAAGTAGAAATTGACAGCAGTAATGGTAATTAATGTAGGTTATGCAATAAAAACTCTTGTCCTTTCAGAGATTTTAACATTGTCTACAAATTTGTTAAACAGAATAGATAAATCAGCATGGATTTATCTAAACAAAATAGATAAATCAGTCTGTGAATGAAAAAAGTCTGTGAATTGTAGTACAATTAACTTACATCTCCAAATGAACAATTAGCAAATTAGGCTTCAAACAGGTAACCCAGAACTTTAAGGCAGTAGCCTACTCCTGTTATTTCATGACTATGCTTACCTGATGAGCCTTGACTGTGTCTTAAGCAGTAGAGACAGACATCGGATTTTCTGTACCTAGCAGTTGTATTACTTAGCCTTTACACTTTGCATAAAGTAATTGCAATAATAGACCCTTTTTAAAAAACAGGGAGGTTGTTTGCTTTGAGGGCATTTTACATAACCCTTAAACACCAAATAGGAACTTTGATGAGAAGTGTGATGTGAGCTGTGTCAGCACACTACTGGAACTCTTAGTATTGCTGGGGTGTAGGAGTGGCAGGTTGCCAGATCATGGTGTAGCAAACAACTGGTGGGGGTAGGTTTGACCTATGGAGGTTTGATCCTACTTCTACCAAAAAAAAAATAAAAATCATTGAAGGTCTATTCCTGTGCAATAAAATTAATATATGCTAATATAGAGTAGAAGTAATGGTAAATAGCTGGAATAATCAAGTTACAAATATGTAAGTTTGAAAGACCTGTGTGGGGTGGGGAAACATCCAAAAGCTGTGATAACAAATAGTAAATATGTTGCTTCAGTGATTGCCCTTTCTCGTACAACATTCCTCTTCAAGACATTGGTTATCTGTTAATGTCACTTGTGCTGCTCTCACATCTCTATTCTTTTCACCTCTGAGCTTTTAATAGGGCTGCTTAGCATGGCTTCCCTCAGCTGCATTGCTTCTGGTCCCAGCTGTGTTTCTGTGCTTCTTTCCTGCCAAGGCAGGCAGCCACATCTTCCTTGTCGTGACCTGTGATGCATCTCTTCTGCTCTCTCAGCTGCTATCAGTACTCCATCATCAACTTCACCATCCTTCACCTTCTATTTATACACTTTTGTGGTTCTTTCATCTTTTTCTCCTCTGATTTTTTTTCCCCTGTGATATCCAGACTCCTGCAAGTGCGTTTAGGATATTATTGCAGCTGACTCAATTTTTAAGTTTTAAAATGCAGTTATCTGTAAAACAGTGCGTCAGTTCTATGAAGAGTACTAATACTTTCTTAGAAAATCATTGTGGTATTTTTTTTTCTCCTGAAGCGGTGTGCATATTTGAAGGCAGAACCTACTTTGAAGGACAAAGAGAAACTGTGTATTCAAGCTCAGGGGACTGTGTTCTGTTTGAGTGCAAGGTAAGAATATTGTTGATGGAAAAAAAAATTTCTTGCATGTTAGAAATATCAAAGTCCTACTGAATGAAGCTGTTGAAATAGAGACAGGTCTACGCTAGGAAATGGCAACAGAAAAGGCATCTAAGGCATCCTGTGTTTGTTTTGTCTTACTGAGTTCCGCATAATATTTTGCAAATATATTTGCTTTGCATAGCTGCAGCCTTGATTACACAGCTTATCAATTGAGCTGCATTCCTTCCTCCTTACCTATCCTCAGCATCACCAGTAACAAACCCCACCAGGCTACATTATGTTTCTATTTACATGTGTGCAGTGCTATTGTTCATATTTGTAAGCCCAGGTACAAGTGACGCACAAACATGATGGGAACATAATTTGGACTCCAGAATAATTTTTAGTGGAAAAAATGATGAAAAAGAAGGAAAGGAGGGGGGCACATCAGATGTCTGGTTGTCTTTCTAGTGTTTGAAATTGGGAAGGGTTGTAGTTTTATTTGTAAGCAGAATGTGCCCAATACTGCTGGTCTCATCCTGCTGCATGAACAGAGATGCTCTTGAGGCCACAAATGCACTTTAAGGGCAAAATGTGCCCCAGGGCATGGCTGCAGGTTGAGTGTTACCCAGATGGCTGCAGTGGACCCCAGTTTGCCTGCCAGGGTGCAGGGATGGCGTGGAAATACCTCCAGATAGGAAACCACATGCTGTGGTGCAGATCTGAGAAAACTGAGCATGCGTTTCCAGTGCAGAGGAATGGGGGATATCTTCTGTGAAGCTGCAGCTGCAGCACAGGTTTGAGGATTTAACAGCCATGCTTAACACTGTACAAACTCTGTGGGGCTGCAGGAAATCCAGACTGCTAGACTCAATAACTGGTATGAAATCCTTTTTAGCTACGAAGGTCAGAAATGTATGGCAGGTTTGCATTGGCTTCAGAGTCAGTGCTCTGCTCTCATTCCTGCTTAAAGTCTTCCCCTTTGGCACTCTGGAGCCTCTTGTGCCTTGCCTGCCTCCTGGAGGGAGGGGGCTCTGAGCTGTCTATGGGATTGTTTTCTGGAAATTTCAGATGCTGTTGTGAAAAAGTGTGTTTTACCAAGTACAACTGGTGAACCTCGTCTTTCTCCCATTGATTTTCATCTGTTTGAACTTAATTCCCTGAGTAGGTACTTTGAAATCTATTGCAAAAGGAAAGGAGAAGATGGCCAAAAATAATTCTGAAAACTGATGGATCAGTCATATGGTTTTCAGGCCTGTGTACTTGTATTTTCAACATGGCAACTGGGACATGAATTCTGTGATTAACTCACAGCCGTCAAAACTTACATGATGTTGCCTTGTGTTTCTTGCAGCTGTCAGGTGCTCTATGAACAAAATGCCTCTGTTGCCCATGCTAGTCTGCATTTTGTTGATGATACTTGTTTGCAAGTGGGATGCCTGCTTTTCCTGGTAGAAATGTTATGCAGCAACTTTGATTCAAATTTTCTTTTTTTTTCAAGGTCTGAAGTACATATTGGTTCTGATGAGCAGGCTTGTGAACCATTTTTCAGAGCAGAAAATCCCCATATTGCAAAATGTGTGTCAGCCAGGAATTCATAGGTTGGCCCTATTCTAATACCACCAGAGTTCCCATAAAGGGATATAATTAGTAACCCAACTCAATAAAGACTTGATAAGAATGGCACTAGCACAGATTTCATTCTTGAAGACTTATGGTGAAGTTAACAACGCAACGTAGAAAATTTCTTCTTTCAAGTTAACACATAATTTTAAACATTATAAACGACAGTTCTATCTGCTATAGATAGGCTCTTTTCTGTTTAAATATTGCAAAACAAGTGGAAGAAACATTTCTTCCAAGTTAGAGTCTGCAAAGAATAAAATGTAATCCAGACTACCCTGATATTATTTCTATCAAAGGTTATTTTCTTCATTTTGAAGGATTGTTGTTTTCTGTTTGTTCTGGTGTACAGTATGCGTCAGCAGCTGGTTTGATTTAGTGTGTTTTCAGGTTCTGTGCCACGAATGTTTAATGTAAAATTTGGTTGGCAATTTTGATTTCATCTTTGTATTTTCCGTTCAAAGATGATTTAAAATCAAATGCTAAACCATACAATAATACATGTGCATATGCATGATTTTAGGCAGTTTTCTTGCATGTAGAAATATAGGGTCCTGAGTTCAGCGAGCTCATATTTTAACCAAATTGCTGATCTTATGGCACATGCCTCTGAGGAACATGTTGTTTGCTATGATTTCTGTCTTTGCCATGAGAGGACCAGAGCACTTCAGAACACATTATTTAGGGCCTGAGGGAGGCTGAAGGTGGTATTTCTGTGGTAGCCTGATTGCCAAGGTAGGCATTTCCCTGTGGTCATACTACAGTGCCTGTGCGTGACCTGCACTAATGCCTGAAGAGTTTCAGATACCATCTTGGCACTGGACACTTCCAGATGCTGATAAACATCTAACTGGGAAGTGCTTTGTTCTTAATAGGGAATCAGTGCCTGTTTCCTTCTGTGTTACTACTACAGTGTTGAGATCAGAGGTGTTCAAGTTTTATTTTACTTGCCAGATAAATACAAAGCTGCTTTAGAGTATTCAGAAGGAGGACCCTTGATTCTGGAATCTGCAGCCTCAATTTCTGAGAAATAATTGTTACTCTTTGAGGCATAGTTTTAAGATGAACTTTTGAGGCATGTAGCTTGACAGCTAAGGTCTGGTTCCTCATTTTTGCTTGCTTGGGAAGGTTTTCACATAGAGTAGTTCCTGATCTTTTATTGTGCTGTACTGTCCTTTCAAATAGTTTTCAAAGGTACCTGGAATTCGGCATAGGCATTTTTTGTTTGTACATTATAATGCTAAATCCAACTAAAGTTATCATTTATCTTTATTTCTTCTCCCACAATATTAACTGATTGCCTCGATTTGACAGGACCACAAAATGCAGCGTATTCCAAAAGACAGTTGTATGACTTTAAACTGCCCAGAATCTCAACAGATCCCCTTGTCTCACAGTTGCTGCAAAATCTGTAAAGGTAAGATAATAGTAGGATGTATATAAGCTCAGTGTAGTTTTGTATTCTTATAGATTACATGACTTTGTGATCTTTTTGAATAGGGCATTCCTGTACATTATAATCACAGCAGATTTTGTGAAGCTAAATGGATAACATCGGCATCATGACATCTGAAAATTATTTGTAAAATGTCTAATATTTTAAATCTTGTGAAAGATGTTTGCTGGCTCTTCTGTGTTTCAATCTAGCCAAAAGTGGGTGAAAAGTCAAAGAAACCATATGCGTAATTAGTGACTCTATCCTTCACCCCATCTAGTGTCAAAACAAAATGAGATTGGAAAAATGTCTGTGTTCCCCAGCATCCTTCTGAGGTGCTTTGAGTTGTCTGTTTTGGAGAACAGTGTGTGCTGTGCAATTGTTCTGAGGCTGGCATGCATTGTTTACCTGTTTGGGGTTGCAGAGAAAATAATTCTGTGCTTCTGTGCCAAGGAGAGCTAGAAAGTTTTACTATATGTCAGATTAGTGCTTTCTGAACATTTTCAATCCTGCCTGAAGCATGCTAGTATAGCCCCTTATGAGCTATATATTTTATTCTTTAAACAGGAAGCTGCTGCATGCATTCAGCAGCATTATACAGCTGACACCATGTGTTAAGAATCTTAAGGAAAACAAACAAACAAAAAACAAACAAACAAAAACCATCATCCACATCCTTGATAAGATTTACATTCTTAGTTATGTAATGCCAAAGTCTGATACAAACCAATCCAGGCCAGGAAATCCCCCAAATAAGACTATTGCCTTGTCATTAACTCAGGCTTCAACTGAGGAAGGCAACAAAAGGGCAAAGAGTATATATCACCATGGCCAGAGCTTGCTCTTGATGCACACTCTTTTGCCATCATCAATGAGTACTGAAGAGCCTCTAATGCTAGTAAAAGTGTAGAGCTTTTTGCTTCTCCATGTCCTGTTAGATAACAGCATTATGGTAGTTATGGTAAATTATAATATAATTATAATATGTAAGTAAAATAAGCACAAAATTAGTAAAATAATAATATACTAGTCAAATCTCTTTATCCATAGCAGGAAAGACAGAAGGAAAGTCACCTGCCTCTGATATCATAGTAGGTCTGTGATGTTTGCATCATGATGACCATGTCACTGGGTCGAAGTACTAAAACCTTCTGCCTTTATGTGCTCTTCTTTCTGTTGTCCTTTTTTGCTTTGTTTCTGTTGATTCATGCTGTTTGTGAACTGCCCAAGTGCAAAACACATCTTTGATCTGACCTCCAGGCAGATTCTGCCATTTGCATTTCTGCCTTACTCATATAATTTAGGCATAGAAGCAATTCTACATCAAAATATGAAGCAGATATTTTTATCATCACTCAGATGGAGTGATGATAAAAATAATCCCTACTGCTAACAAATACATGTTTGATATATCGTAACAGGCCAGTGTTGCAGGAAAACTCCAGCTTTCTTTCTGGAGTTGTTGCTGTTACAGAAATCCTGGTCCCCTGAGCCTGAGCTATGTTGTCCACTTCTCCTATGGGGGATTTTGAAACAAGAAATAATTATTGGCAAAGACCAGTGAAGTACTGCTGCTTGACCAACTCTGATGTTTCAGTTACAGAGCAAATTAAATTGCTGAGAAAATAGTGAAGAGGACAAACTTCACACTTTAATAGATATGGAAGTATGGATGCTTCAAGTCAGTTACTACAACCAGATTAGATTCCATATAATAAAGTCTGAGTTAATGATGTTCAGCAACATTAGATTTCATGAGAACATACACATATTGATACTCATAATTAAGGTACAGTCAAAAGCAGTCACACTCAGGAAAAATGGAAAGGCAAAAATAGGAATACAAGAAAATAAGAAAGGCTAAAAGGTGAGAATTTAAAAATAAGTTTCTCTGAAATAGAAAGACAGAGGCAATCAGGGAAGAGTGTTCAGTCAGTAGAGCTTGAAAGGAAAAGATAAGGGAAAGAAAAAAGCAAAACAAGTCAATGGTAATCAAAGACTTCTAGTTAAATGGGGAAAGATTGTAAATACACTTGGGAATAAAAAGTGCTGAAAAAAAAAAAATGGATTGGGCTAATGCCATTAGTAAATGAACTACTGAATGTCAAAGCTACAAAGCTACTGAGCTCTTTTACAAATGTCTGACCAGAAAAAAAAATAAAATATATATATACACATAATTAAGAGATGTCCTGTAAAAGTACTTAACAATGACAAGGAGACTGTAAGGGGATTTAAGCAAGCCACCTACACCCTACCCAGCTGCCTTCAGATCAATGCCATAACCTGCAATTGAATCGAAGACCTAGAGACAGTCTGTTCTTGTGGCCTTTACTACTCCTTTCATCTGCTGCATGCTTGGTACAATTTATTTTTCAGAATCTCATGAACAATAGAAAGGTATTCTTTGACCTAACCGAAAAAAGATAGGCCTATCTTTGACAGGGGTGTTTTATAATCCCTGGATTCTTCTTAACCCTCAATCATATTTGTTTCTGAACAGGCCACGACTTTTGTACCGAAGGACACAACTGCATGGAGCATTCTGTCTGCCGAAACCTGGATGACAGAGCTGTCTGTAGCTGCCGAGATGGCTTCAGAGCCCTTCGAGAGGACAACGCCTACTGTGAAGGTAACACCTTGTAAAGATGCTTAGCTCCACTGTATTATTTACTGCGGAAAGAATGTATTAATTCATGAGTAGTCAAAGTGATGTGCCTATTAAATGCAATGAATTAGATATGCAGCATATTAATCAGCTAAAATAATTATCTCTCCAGTTAAGGTGTTATTTATTTATTTATTTATTTATTTATTATTTTTAAGTTCTGGTCAGTGTAAAAGTTGCAAGTTGCTATGGTTGAGGTCTGGAATTAGAAACATACTTCCATAGGAAAGTTTTCCTTTATTTTCATAATATCCAGATATTCAGGCAACCTTTCTCTTTTTACCACTGTCTGTTCCTATTCGCTCAACCCAGGCAGTAAGTAAATATAATACACTAGATACTAGCATTAATTACACACTAGCTAATCATACTGAGTGATGATTTATAATTTGAGTGACTCTTTTGGTATCAGGGAGCAACAAACTACTTAATAAGAAGTGATGCTTCTAAAATTTGTAGTTTTAAATTCTCGTGTAATCCTGTGAAAGAAAAAACATCCTCACTGCTGCAGCAGAAGCCATAGTCCTCTGCACGATCTGCTTTTGTGCTAACTATTGCTCTTTCTTGTGAAACCCCTGATTCTGCAAGCCGCAAACACTGGTATCACATACATAATACCAGTGTGCTATCAAGTCATTCTTACAATAAAGCTTAAGTGTTGCCAGTAGCACTGTCTTTGACTAATGAGCAGTTTGGTTCAGATTTAGCCAGCTGAATTGAAAATTAAGCATATGCGAGTAAAGTCTAAGGTCCTCTGTAGTCCCACCTAATACCTGGATTGCTCTCTGGTGATGTTCAATTAAGTGGGATGGATTGAGGCATTTTAAGACAGTTTCTTTGGCTGAACTCTGCAAAAGTTAATGCCTGCAGCTTACTTGAATTAGTAGCTGCATTAGCCTTGGTGGTAATGCTCATCTGTAAATTTAGATGTGAGAACTCCTGTCTGTTTTCAGGAAAGGAGTGTGTGATTAATTTAGCTTCACATACATCTCTGCTTAATGTTTATGGTAAGCCATTTGATGGAAATCTGTTAAAAGAATTAGAACTAAGTCATAGAGAAACAAATCCCTTGCCCCTCATCCTGTCCCAGAAGACATCTGACATCAGGACCAGTTGTATAGCTTGGTTTGCAGCATCAGCCACTTTTTGCCACACAGCCCTTGGAGACTATGCAGAGGCTTAGGCTGCAGAGCTGAATTTCAAGGAGATTTCATCAGCCACTACCATTCTGAGGGAGTCACTGGTCACTGAAACTGTGGAATTAGAGTGAAATCATGTGCTTTAAGATTCCGCCCCCCTGCCCCCCGCAGCTGTGTTCTTACTCTGCTGACTGGAAAGCAGAAAAACAAGTTATGCTTTTAGTGATCTCCATATCACTCAAATTAGAGTCTGTTGCTATGAGTAGAACTTGCCAGGCATGTAATAAGTTAAAAATAGGAAGCTTCTTGATTTCACTGTTGGTGAAATGTTTAGATGAAGACATGGTAGTTTATCATATGCGAGATTGGTGCATCCATATTATAAGAGGATTTACCAGTCCGTGCAATACCTGAATTAGGCATGATGATTTTTTGAGATTTCTTGGTTCGAGTGCTTCCATATGGGCAAATGATATTGTTTCTGTGTGGAAATTATCAGTCTACTTCTGCACTTTCAAAAAACTTGCTAAAGTGAATAGAAGGTTGGGGTATGTTATTTACATTAAAATAATCACTGTATTAATATGTATGGATGCAGGAAATGACCTCCTAAAAATGTGTATGATTTAGGACCTGATCCAGTAACACTCACACTGAAGATAGTTAAGTCCCATTGGGAAGATATACCCATGTGAGCAAAGCTCATGAGACTGGGTCCGTGCCAGATGAAGTTCTTGTAGGCAAGGATGAAGCTCAATCTGCAGTCAGAACAACATGGCTGTGCTGCCTGTTATGTGCCATGGCTGAAGCCCTGTGCTTGAACTATGCACCTTTTGCACATGGGTTGAGAACTGGACTTGACTGGCCTTCTCGGACTGGGTGTAGAGGTCATATGCTGCCAGAGGGGAACTAAGGTCACAGATTTGAACCTTTTATTGTGTTTTGTGGAAGTGGGGGGCAGGGGACAAAGGAGACTGAAATACCTGTGTTTTTTTTTTTGTTTGTTTGTTTGTTTGTTTGTTTTCAGAGATGTGCTTTTACTATTGTATCCCTTTTTCCAGCCCAAATACCTCTTCGAATACTGAATTTTTTCTTCTGGAAGGAAGCTCTGTCTTAATATTAAGCAATGTAGTAACAAAGGGCACATTAGCAATAATATAATTCCAAGTCTTTTCAGAGTCCTGTCCCTCATCCTGAATGGCTCAAATGGTCCCAAGCTCTCTTTCTCAGCACAGACCCATTCCTCACAGTGACATTATTGTGGCTTTAATTACTAACAATACAAAGTGAAGAAATGTCAAGCTAACACAAAGCTTTTCAGAGAGGGCATTTTGTAATGGCTATAGCCTATGGGTATGATAGCCGTTTCTATGTTCTCACTTAACAAGCAAAATATACTGCAAAATCGGATGTCATTTATTCTGCATTAGAAACTTCACCAATCGTGATTCATTCCTGAGCACTGTAAAATTCAAAGAATAGACAGAAATAACAATGCTCTCATTGGTAGAATTTCTCTGTAAGGTAGAATAACAAAAATAAAAATATTCAAAGCTGGTTTCAGTATGGGTCTTGAAAAACTGCATACATTTCATCTGAATGATGGAAAAGTTTGGCTTCTGTCCTAGAAAGAACTGATGCTTTTCCAAAGCTAAGTGATGTCTCTAGATACTGTTATGGTAGATACCTTTCTGTTTTATAACAATAATATTTGTTAAGATTTATGTCACATTTAACTTTCCTTTGGAGGACTGTTAAAAGCAATATTCTAAGAGGTGGGATTTCTTCATTTACCTGCCCTAAGCCTTATTACAAGTACTCTGAAATCCACTTTCTGCCTCAGGTCATTAAGCAGTTTGAGATACTTTACTGATAGGTTGGGTATGGATTATGCTGTGTTCAGATGTAGGTGCTTTTCAGTATAGCATCCTTGGCATATAGCCTGCTTAACATCAACATTTTACAAAAACAGATGTTCTGATGACGTATAATTAGTTATTTCCACTGCAACACCTGAAGTCCTCTGAAACTGACAATCACCCTCCAGGATATATTTCAAAGAGTGTTCAGTGCCCATTACATTTGTGGTGGTGGACTTCTGATGAAGTCTTTAAGGATAAAGTTTGTGACTTTTGGCTATCAGGATACATTGATGCATCTAGAAGAGTTAAATGCACCCACACAGCAAGACTAGGCATCTACTGAAATAAGATGGTATGCAAATAGTCTGCTGGTAGGCTCAAGTAAGAAGACAGGAGAATGCAGTGGTCTTTTGTAAGCATTGTGACTGAGCATGATCTGCTCAGGTTATTTCATTATTTATCCAGAGGATTTTGCCTGATGCAGAGGCCATTTTACATCATGTCTGGCTGGGATGGAGTTAATTTTCTTCATTACAGCTCTTAGGGTGCTGTGTTTTAGGTTTGTTACTAAAGCACTGTTGATAACACACCAATGTTTTGGCTGTTGCTGAATAGTGCCTTCTCTATATCTCACTTCCTGCACAGCGAGTAGGCTGCGGTGGGCAAAAGGGTGGGAGGGGACACATCCAGGACAGCTGACCCCAACTGACCAAAGGGATATCCCTTAAATCCATATAATGTCATGCTTGGCAATAAAAGCTGGGGAATAGCCTTTCTAAGGTAGCTGTTGCTTAGAGATTGACTGGGTATCAGTCTGCTCATAGGAAGTGGTAAGTTATTGCCTTTGCATGACTTCTTTCTCCCTCCCCCCCCCCCCCCCCCCCGCCTTTTTTTTTTTTCTTTTCACTTATTAAACTTATTTTTTTATTGGTTTTGCTCTTCTGATTCTCTCCCCCAGCCTGCTGGAGGAGGGGGAATGAGTGGCTGGTAGATGCTTGATTGCTGACCTGGGTCAACTCTCCACACATTCCAAATCCACAATACGGTTGTGTGAGCCATAACATTTATTTTCTGGTATTTGGGAATTTAGTTGTTCTAGTTGTGCAGTATGCAACATAGCTAACTTATCCTAACAATATTTGGAAGCATTTAATATTATTAAACATAACTGTGTGAACCATTTTCCATTTTTCTTCCAATTTACCTCTTTCCCTCAATAACTCTCCTAGTTTCTCTTCTGTTGCCATGTTTGTCCCAGTTTCAAGTGCAGCAGCTGAGATGAGAGCAAAGACTGAGTGACTGTTTACATTTGAGTATTACATGAGTTTCACTGATGATTTTCCCTCTAGGGAACACGGTATTCAGTGTAGAGATCCACATTTGAATAAGCTGTCTGGATTTGAATAATCCTCGGATGAAGGAAATAAACAGTCTTAGAGGATGAACCCTCTCCTTCTAGAGTAGATGTCCAAAGTAGTTTGGAAGCAACACTTGGTTGGACGTCATCAGGTTTCTCTTAGTTTAGAGTTGTATGTTCTCATTCTGCTTGGAAAGATTTACTAACGGAAGCTTACATTTATCCACATGTTTGTGTAAAAATGCTAGTATATTATTCAAAAACAAACAAACAAACAAACCACAAAGAAACACCAAAAATACATTAAAACAAACAAACAAACAATGTAACAACAAAACTGTTGCACATCATCATGTATATAATAGGCAGATTACTGTTTTTTGTTGTTTTTATCTACTGGCTAACCAGACTACAAAAATAAGGTAGTTTTCAGATTGAGTCTGATTTCTACAGATTGCAGTTAAGAGAAGAAATCTTACAAAAATGAGAAGTAATGATCAAATTACAATAAAATATACCTGGTATCATATTGGCTAACTGCAGTAATCAATGACACATTTGCTCCTTAAGGAGTGTAATACTGAGAAGAATATAAGTAAATCAGAT